CCATTTTTTGGTCCTGCCTATAACCCCATCTCCATAATCCCCCTTTTCCTCTCTCCCAGGAGCTCAGAAGAACCAGCTGCACCAAACTCATCTACTGAGAAAATTGCAAGGTTGGGAGAAAAAGCTGCAAGAAAAGGTACAGAACAGAGCCAGATGAGATAAAAAAGGCAGGTACAGAGGTAGAACTGCTGAGACAGTGATCATTAATTGGATTTAAGACGAAAAACACCAACATGGAAACACTTAAAATCCTAAAGGAAAAAAATAAAGACAGTTGGAAGATCAGACTTCAGCATCATTGAGGGTCTGTTGGAGGGTGTAGAGCTGGCCAACGCTTCCCCACCTTTGCAGATACAGCTTAAAAAGAGATTTCAGCCACAGTTATTACCTGCCAAGATGTGTAGCGCTGGGGGTGACCCCACAAACAACTCTTCTATTTCCAGTCTGTCTGGGACCTCCAGACTTGGCAGCCCGGTGAGATTTCTCTACCTGCCTGCAGCCTTTCTGAATTTAGTAAGATAGATTTTAATGGTGTTTTTGTTCCCTTATGGATGTGTACAAGTATATTGTGGTTATTACTACAAACAGTGATGGGTCAATTTTGATCCATGCCTAATGCACTTTCCAGACTTTTCCAAGAGCTGCTTCTCTTCTTGTGAATTATCTGATTCATTGCTTTCAGCAGTAGTTATTTATGGGTCTAATAATTTAGCCTTTGCCCTCCCTGTTGTGACTTGTTCGTAGGAGGAACTGAAATCTCCCATTATTATTGTGTCTTCTACCCTTGCAGACTCTAATTTCTTTTTAGTTTTTCCCAATGGCTGTCATGCTGTGATATTGCTCTGTGACATTCCAATCCACAGTGATTTCTCCCAGTACCTTTTGATTCAATTACCTATTTGACTCCTTCCTTTAACATAGGATACCAGTTCTGTTCTCAATGGGATTCTGTCACTGTAAAATGAGTATTCAAAAGTCCTGTGGATTTTCTTTCTTCCACAAAGTTACAGAAATGTGAATCATATCAATCCCTTCCTTCAAAAATGCAGACATTGCTAGGGAAAGAAACCAGAAGAAGATATTTGGGGCATTCTCCATAAATAAAGTCAAGAAAATTTCTTCTTATATTTAAGAAGCTTTCACTGTTATTATGAAAAGAGACCCATCTGTAAATGTACTGCCTAGAAAGATAGCCTTAGTTAGAAAGTAGCACAACTAGAAAGAGAAGAGCATAGTATAGTCCAGAACCTGAAACCAGATCTTTTTTCAGTAGCTTTACTGATTAGCACCATTTTTTTCAGCTAACCATGGGGAAATAATGACTAGCAGAGTCAAAAGCAATGCTGGAGATAAGGACTTTCAGATTAACATAGAGATAGTGCTTGTAGTATTTTTAAGGTCAAAGTGGCAATGCTGTCTGCTTTGGAGGTTGTGCTTTGCTTTGCAGACAGTGTTGCATGTTTATTTGCATCTCTTTATCATGTGGTGCGAGAGGGTGTAATTCTTAGAAATCTCAGCTCATCCTCTTTGACGTGCTTGGTACGAGCTGGAGATGCACCCGCCCATTATAAGCAAAAAAAGGAAAATCTCGTCTTGCTACTGTCAAAAACTAGACTCTGAATAACTAGTGCCAGACTTTGGGGTGAGCTACCTGGCAAAGATCAGAAATTGCTGGTGTTGGGTAAAATCCGGGCTTGGATAGATACAGAATTTTGAGGATTGTTTTGGGAAAAAAAAAAATATTTCTGCAACAATCAGAGAAATCAACTGATTCAGCCCACTTCAGGCCCAAATGACATCACTTCAGGCCCAAATGACATAATGCTGTCAATACTTTTAATAGCCAAATACTTTGCAATAACACAATTATCTTGTGACCTCAGTGTTAGTGGCAGTGATGGCACAGTGAAATGGTAACAAACATGCTTGAGTAATAGATGGGGATGTTTGAAATACACTTGATGTGAAATGAGAAGTTTTCTTTCCTCCTAACTTTTTCACAACCATGTTGTCAAACTCAGAAGAGTCTCATATTATTGTCTCAATCTTTTCCCCCCTGCAAATTAAGGTAAGTAATTGGAAATGCTGAATGCCCAAGGAGACCAGCTGCCAGATTAAGCTACCACAGGTTTCTTAAGGAGTTAGAAATACAGTATAGAGAACTGTGATGTAACATGTAGAGAAAATACAATGATGGGCATAAATACAGTCCTGCCCTCTGCTGATCAAATTCCTAAATCTGCTTCAAACTCCAGTATAGCTCCAACTAAGTAAGGGTCAGTGGCAGCTCATCATATTGGAGGGATAGATCTCCACGCTCAACTCTATTTCCCAAAACCTCACAATTCAGCTATAACGCTTATTTCTTCTCTCCTCAGCAGCAGCACGGGCTCTTAAACCTGAAAAACCCTGATGGCTCTTAACGATCATTTAAATTCTGAGCGCAGAACTAATGTGGGGTTTGGTATTGCTGTTGCCACTGGGATTTGAAGCCGCTGTCTTTATGTGAGCTACGTGGAGCGTCCAATAATATTTGCTGTTTGGCACTAAATCATCCTGCCAAAATAAAGTTTACTTTGCGTTTATTATTGTCTGTCTCCACTTCCACGGTTTCAGGCACCTTCTTTGACAGGGTTATTGGCAGGGATCATTACAGAGACCTGCTGGACATCACACGCAGACAGTGAGATGACTGACTCCCATCTCAACTGGGAGCTCCTCCATAGTGGGTCTGTGAACCACCACCACTACAACACAGGACTGAAAATTCTGGGGTTATCTTGATCGCGGGGCTCTCTCACCCCATGCAGGACCCCCAAGGGACTGGATTCCCTGCATCAGGAGGAAAACAAAGCTCAGAGCTCCAATTACGCTGGATGTGCACTGCGAAAACCAAAAGGAATTTGGGTTTTTTTGGGAATGAGGAAGCCGGAAGCACAAACTTCGCTGCATCTATGATAAAAAATTGGGTGTGCAATTAGCTGTCATAGAATCGTAGAATTGTCTGGGTTGGAAGGGACATTTAAGATCACCGAGTCCAACCATGAACCTCACACTGCCAAAACCACCACCAAACCATGTCCCTCAGCACCACGCCTGCCCATCTTTTAAATACCTCCAGGGATGGTGACTCCACCACTTCCCCGGGCAGCCCGTTCCAATGTTTGACAACCCTTTGGTGAAGAAATTTTTCCAAATACCCATCCTAAACCTCCCCTGGTGCAGCTTGAGGCTGTTTACTCTTGTCATCATTCCGCTCTTGCAGAATTCATCCCCGTATCCCACTTGGCTGCCTTGCCCTGCCCTGCTTGCCAAAACGAAGTGCTGTGAAATCTGAGGTGTATGAAATCTGAGGTGTAGGAAGTCTGAGGTGTATGAAATCTGAGGCGTAGGAAGCCTGAGGTGTAGGAATTCTGAGGCGCAGGAAGTCCCAGGTGTATGAAATCTGAGGTGTACGAAGTCTGAGGTGCAGAAAGCCTGAGGTGTCGGAATTCTGAGGTGCAGGAAGTCCCAGGTGTATGAAATCTGAGGTGCAGGAAGCCTGAGGTGTATGAAATCTGAGGTGTAGGAAGGCTGAGGTGTATGAAATCCAAGGTGTAGGAAGGCTGAGGTGTAGGAAGGCTGAGGTGTAGGAAGGCTGAAGTGTATGAAATCCAAGGTGTGTGAAATCCAAGGTGCAGGAAGCCTGAAGTGTATGAAATCTGAGGTGTATGAAGTCTGAGGTGTAGGAAGGCCCAGGTGTAGGAATTCTGAAGTGCAGGAAGGCCCAGGTGTATGAAATCTGAGGTGTAGGCAGGCGGAGGTGCAGGCAGGCTGAGGTGTATGGAATCTGAGATGCCGGGAGCCTGAGGTATAGGAAGTCTGAGGTGTCGGGAACCTGAGGAAGGCTGAGGCGCTGGCAGGGCCCCATCCTGCTGCACCAGACAGGTAAAGGAGGGCTCAGCGGTATCTCTGGCAGATTAATTAGGGCTTTTCGGGCTCAGACCACTTTCCTCCAGCCCGCAGCGCCCGAGAATGGGAGGTGGCGGTGGCATGCACGAGTGAAATCTGAGGTGTATGAAATCTGAGGTGTAGGAAGTCTGAGGTGTATGAAATCTGAGGCGTAGGAAGCCTGAGGTGTAGGAATTCTGAGGCGCAGGAAGTCCCAGGTGTATGAAATCTGAGGTGTACGAAGTCTGAGGTGCAGAAAGCCTGAGGTGTCGGAATTCTGAGGTGCAGGAAGTCCCAGGTGTATGAAATCTGAGGTGCAGGAAGCCTGAGGTGTATGAAATCTGAGGTGTAGGAAGGCTGAGGTGTATGAAATCCAAGGTGTAGGAAGGCTGAGGTGTAGGAAGGCTGAGGTGTAGGAAGGCTGAAGTGTATGAAATCCAAGGTGTGTGAAATCCAAGGTGCAGGAAGCCTGAAGTGTATGAAATCTGAGGTGTATGAAGTCTGAGGTGTAGGAAGGCCCAGGTGTAGGAATTCTGAAGTGCAGGAAGGCCCAGGTGTATGAAATCTGAGGTGTAGGCAGGCGGAGGTGCAGGCAGGCTGAGGTGTATGGAATCTGAGATGCCGGGAGCCTGAGGTATAGGAAGTCTGAGGTGTCGGGAACCTGAGGAAGGCTGAGGCGCTGGCAGGGCCCCATCCTGCTGCACCAGACAGGTAAAGGAGGGCTCAGCGGTATCTCTGGCAGATTAATTAGGGCTTTTCGGGCTCAGAGCACTTTCCTCCAGCCCGCAGCGCCCGAGGAGGGGAGCTGGAGGTGGCATGCGGCGCTCCCTCCCCAGCGCCATGTTGGTCTGCACTGGGGCGGAGCGGGAAGGAGGCGGGGGGCCGACGACACGGGGGTGCTGCGCCTTCCGCCCGCCGCTAGGGGGCGGTAAAATGGCGGCGCTGCCGCCGGGAGCCCTCGGCGCCCATTGGCCGAGCGGGGCGGGCACGCGGCAGTGCGCAGGCGCGGCCGCCGCCGTCGGGGAGGGGCGGGACTTCCCGGCTGCCTCAGCGGCCGGCTCATGGCGGCGGCGGCGGCGCGGTGACGGGTAAGCGGCGGGCCCCGGCCGACCGGGGAAACCGTCCTGGGCTCCGGGGGGAGTGCGAGGAGGCAGGGTGGAGCGGGAGACAGGCGGTCGTCCCCTTCTCAGCGGCCTCGGCCGCGCGGCTGCTCCCCTCGGAGGGGTCTAGGCCTTGGGGGGGGCGGTCAGGGCCCCTCAGTCCCCGCTGCGCGGCCCGTTTGCCTCCCAGGCCTCGGCCCCCTCTGTCCCCATGGTGGGGGGAAATAACAGCCAGGCCTTTGCACTGGCGTGGTTGCAGCCCCTCTGTTTTCCTCCCTGGTGCATCCCGTCCCTGCCAGGCCTTGAGGCAGAAAGTGCCTTTCCCGCTATGGCAGCTCCTTCCCTGTATCCGTACGCATAGCATAACGTACCCCCCCGCCGCTAGGGGGCGGTAAAATGGCGGCGCTGCCGCCGGGAGCCCTCGGCGCCCATTGGCCGAGCGGGGCGGGCACGCGGCAGTGCGCAGGCGCGGCCGCCGCCGTCGGGGAGGGGCGGGACTTCCCGGCTGCCTCAGCGGCCGGCTCATGGCGGCGGCGGCGGCGCGGTGACGGGGAAGCGGCGGGGCCCCGGCCGCCGGGGGAAACGCCCCCCGCTCCC